AGAGGAGAATTGCTGTGTTTTCAAGGAAAAGAAAAATATGGAGCGTATGCTAGGAGGCTAAAGGTTTATAGTTTAATGGGCGGTTAGTATTTCTGGTTCTTTATTTCCTGGCATCATGCTTTTGGTGACACCATGGGCTGTCGCTTGGAGATTTTAGGAATGCAACACTTGATAAAAGGCATTTGGTGCCATTATCAAGGACTAGCATAGGTCTGAAGACTTCAGATGAGGGTGGTTCCCTTTGGTCTCCACCATCAGATCTACAATCCCCCTGTCATGCTATTAGGCAGTTATGATGCCGTGCGTTATCTTTAAGTTTGTAACGAATGTACTATAAGCTTCTCTGTCTTAGAGAAACCTTTTACCTTTTCTAGTCGTAACCCAACTTTCAGAAGGCCTCTATTCATAGCACACATTCATATTTTTAAATGGAGGTGGTTAGACAAAACATGCCTAGAGTGAAATCATGGTTAGAATAAAGTGACGGTGGGGTGGTAAGCAAGAAGTTCGTCTACATAGAGGGAGGAGTAAGTGGTCTATTTTGCGTGGTATAGAATGGAAGAGGTATTAAATCGAACAGTAACAGAACGGTAATAAACAGGCAATGAGGGCCTTAGTTCAATGATCGAGCAATAGTAGCTCATTACGTCAGTCATAGAAAAATGAGTCCACTAAAGACCAGAACCCATGTAATAAAAACATCCGTAAACTACCTTCAGTTGTGTGAATATAGGTGTGCACATCTACGATTCGCACAGAAAAATTTAGGTCAGGCTGCTGTGGAACCATAGTTGCAGATCCCTGAATCTGATGTTAATGACGCCAAAACACCAAAAGCAATTGTGTTAGTTATTGTGATATTAGATAGTACGCTGTGTCATAGACGTCAGTTTTCTGCGTATACTTCTCAGCGTACAGTCATCATCTATTCTTGCCATAAGCATATCAAAAGAATGCATACGACCGCTGACTTAAGTCGCATTCCAAAATTGAACTGATGGATGAGCACTGGGCCCAATGGAGGTCCCATAATAGCTCCATTGACTTGTAGTTACAAATGGCCGTTGAAGGTGAACTAAACATTTATCATAAACTTTGGCAGTAGCTCCTTCACACTCATATTAAGAATGCCAGTGCCTGATTTCCTTTCCAGTAACTGTTCACGGATGTAATCCATGGTTTCCATTAAAGAAACGTCCGTAAACAAAGATGTGAAATCAGCAGATCTTCTGATGGTGTTTAAACAACGTGAACACTTTACCTTGTCCAAAAACCGAGGGTCTCTCGCGCTACATTTTACCAGCTGGTGGCTCAAATGCCGATACAAACATAAGAGTGTGTGGGATTGTCTTGTCATTGAGTAGCTGACCAGTATCCATTCTTAGACTGAAGGACTGTCTACCTACTTTTAGTTACTCATTCTGCTCACCTCAGTTTAACTATTTCTGTGGAACGGGTCACATGGGTGTACTTTTCTCGACACGAAAACACTTGTCGGCTTGGATTGTAAGGGGGAAAGTGAAAGTGGTCCACAGTTTCGTTCTTGTGCACCTAGTAGACCCAAGCAATCACATCGATGCCAGCAAAGTTTTCAGTGTCATTTATCTTATTCCAAAAACAAGACCAAATGTAGCTCACCAATGTCTGCTCAATATAAGGGAGGCTGTCGAAATGAGGTTTATCTAACCTAAACTGTACATTTAGAGGGAATATTATGCGCATACTTCCCTTCTTTAGCTCTCAGTACACCTGGGACCGCTGTCATCTTCGTCATTCTTATTTTTTAGTCCACCGACACATGGTCAACCCCGAAAATATACCACCCCAATATTGACAAATCGGGAAAAATTTCAATTTTCTCACAGACCTTGAATCTTCCTCCGTTTTAAACATGTAACTGACCCTAACTTGGCTTGCTTTTGGGATGCGCAATTGCATTTTATAATTGAACGATCCGATGAGAACTGAATAGGATGCTCTTCGTTCACCTTCTTGCCCCATACTAATGTTATGGGAATCTTTTGAATCGGTCAAGCATGACGGTTATCCACAGGCCGCCGAGCTTCTCACGTCAAAATTATGCAGCATCTTCTCACTGCATGGTGTTCTTTGTGTTTCAGCCGTCTGCGTTAACCAGTTGATTACCAGTCTGTACTAACTTTTTCCAATAACCTGTATCGTGGCCATGCTCTTGGGCTTATATTTATTTGGGTGGCGATGAATTACAGCATGTAGTGGTTACCGCTTCACGCCATCCTTATTTTACTGGGAACCAGGTGGTATGATTCGGTATTAGTGGGTGGTACTGAGGTTGCTTTCGATGCATTAAATTAGTGGTCTTACACTGCAGACTAAGTGTTAGCTTCCCTAAACCCGGACATCTGCCTGTTACTGATGAGGAGAACCCGCTGAATATCTCCTCATACCTAAGTTTATACTCAGCTCGAAGTATTTGTGTCCACCAATGGATACCTCCATGTTGTTTTCCGCCAGTCATCATTGACGGGCACCGACTACTATGTTGGTCAGTCCGTGGCAGCGATGGGTATTTGAAGGGAAGGGAAATCCAGGGGGTGGGTTTGTGCAAACTTGAGATGACTGCGATTAGTTTACATCTAGTCAAAGAACTGTTCAGAATTACATTCGTTCGTTGTCGCAGGGAAAAACTCTTACTTGGGGGTCAGGGTCGAGGGAAACGATGAGTTTTCCCTTTTGTATCTGCGCTGTATGTAAGATGGCAGCTTCCTTTGGCTGCAGTTAATATTACTCTCACATAGTGCGGGAACGATGCACCAAACATTTACGGGCTTTGTTGGAGATGCACGATTTCTAAAAGTCCCTAGGTTCATAGTTATGGGTGTCACCGGACAAACGCCACCTCTGGTTTTAGACACTGACGCTTTGCTTTCTCCCCACTACGTAAACTGTGGTAGTGAAGTAAAACGCGAGTATGTTCCCTAATATATTGTTGCTCAGGGCTCCAGTTAAAAGAAGCCGTTTAACACAGTTTCAGAGTTTTTCATCTCAGGATTTCGACGCACAGGACCTCCATTAACACAGTACATTGTGGAAATTGGCTTAGAGGATATTTTCAGTTATCTATCAGCCAGATCAACCATCACCTGGAGTCAGAAAAAACCAGTGAGATTTGTATAGGCCGTGACGGTTTAGAAAATAATCTGCGGAATGGCCACCGAATACGTTTGCCAGCCAACTACCCCTTGTACGCACGCGAGAAAGCTGCTAGCTGAAGTGTGGCGGTAACTTGACGATACGGAGAAGTTCATCTGGTGATGACAGTTCGTGAACCGGATTTTCCTTAAAACGCTGGCTTTCAGCATTGAATATGGGTCATTCCCGTCAGGAGTAAACGTAAATAGTGCAACAAACTGTTCCGATTCACGAGGCAGTGATTGCGAGATGGGGGAAGTTGTGAGAGAAGGTATGTTTGTTTTTGCTCCCAGAGATAGGCCTCAAGGTACGAAAACTATATAGGTTAGCATCACTGGAAAGTATCGTCAAAAATTAGGTTGCTGACTCTAGGGAGATATTCCCCTACGAAAGGTTCATCTCAAAAATCTGATACTAAAGATTTCGCACAAAGGTGAGTGCTCACCCACTGTCCATAATAATTCACCAGCTATCAGATATATTCCTTGACGTTGTAGTAGCCGTTTGGTAAGAAGTGTGCTTGGAGGCTGGAGATACTAAAGCGGAGGACATGAGGCGATTACAGGGCATTGACCACGGATGTCTTCTTAGCATTTTCCGGATTGGTGGAATCACCGTGTGGGCAATGTTGAAGTCAGAAGAAGGATACTAGGAAAGACAGGCAAGTCAATTGGTGAGATTGTTAACCTTCATTCACTGAGATGACTTGGGCATTTGTTGCACATGCTGAGTCACCGTCCACCTCGATGCGCTATGCTAGGGGGAAGCTGTATTAGGTTGGAAGAGAGTTCAGGGTAGCCAGATAACGACCCGGCACCTGTTCGTGAAGTCCATGAGGGTTGGTCTGAGCAGTGGAGAAAGATGTGGACTACCTTGTGGGGTCACTGAGGCCACAGGAATCAGTAGTTGAGAACTCTTGGTGAAATAGCTGAAAATTGGTCGCAGTGGCGCAGTTGTATTCACTCTCTGGCGCCTCCTAAAGCATGAATATTTGCACGAAGTTTTATCTTCAAATTGCTTGTCCTCTCACATAACTTTTTCAACTTTATACGACTCTTTTTATCCCCCTGTTTTCGTAAACTACTGTGAAGTATGGCAACTTCAGCCAAAGCACCTGTTTATGAGATTTTATCTTGATATTGTCTGTCTGGGTTGCATGCAATAGAGCTAACGGTAAGTATTTTAGGTGCACTATTACCCAACTCATAAATTAGATGTGAGGCTTCAGTGGCGTTTTCTGTTTGTCTTAGGAGGTGATAGTTAAAACGAAAACTGAAAACTGCAAACATTCAACGGTTGTCTGTGGTATCACAGATGTAGCAAGTGGGGGGCCCATGGTTAACTTCCTGCTCCACAAGATGTGATAGAGTTCCACCTGAAGAAATACCAATAGAACATTAAGATGAACGATTTAAAATCCTTAGGCGTGACTTCTCTGAAGATGACAAAATGTCAGATGTTAATCGAATAGTTTCCAAGTAAACTAATTTGTGACATCAAACGCAGAAAGATTTGTTAACGGTATCAAAGTCATTTACTTTTCTGAATCTTACTTTCCTCGCTTGCTGACGAGTGTGAAGGTTGTCCTTCCCAACCGGGAAGTAATCTCTCGATGATGGATTAGTGAAATGTAACTGCGCACTACGCGCATTAAGATCACTACAAGAGAAGTATCTTGGCTACGAACAATAACTTTAAATAAATAGAAACTCACTTAGTCTCACAGTTTTACTTTTTATTAACGCAGTTCTCATTGAGTATTCTGTTTGTTTACACTATTTCAGATATCCATTTTGCTGACAGCAAGTGGAAGTGCGCTCAGTTCAACAATGGTTTTAAGAGAGATGGAAGTAGAGTCAACTAGTCGCGGGTGGCGGTCTAAAAGCAATCACCGTTGTTGTTTCAACTCAAGGTTTAGAAATAAAGAAACTAAATATGCTTCTGACTCTGTTTGCTCCTCCTCTTCCTCATCCGCCAGCCAGCGTAAACGTTCTAGTACATCTGAGAAAGCATCATCTGGTTATGGTTGTTCAGACCCTAAAAGACCTCGTGTCCCAGCACTCGTCAAAAGGTACACACATAAACTTTTGAGTTTTGAATTGTCTTGATTTTTTCTTTCATATCACTGAGTCTGTGATTGTTTTTATCCTCGTTGGTCCAGGCGGAAACGTAGTTCCCATGTATCACTTCCTAATTCCAATCACACAACGGGCACCTGTAAGGCAATACGTATCTCTGTGATGAGGGTCGTCCTCGGGACCATTCTGACAGCTCCTCCCGCAGTGGCGTCGCCCGTAGTCATGCTACCAAACCTCCGCCTGACCATCCAACTAAGCGAGAACGCCAGCGTAGTCCAAGTACGGAAGTCCGCGATGGGCATTCAAGGCATGGTCATTTACGTAATGGGCAATTTCTTGGTTCTCCGAGGCTTCCTGAGAAAGATGACAAGCGGGTAGCGCGTTGGAAAAGAGAAGAGAAGCGTCGCGAAGAGAAGGCACGAAGAAAGGTTAGCCATGAGCGCCACAAACGCAAGCCATCCGCTATTGTACCAGTCGGCGAGATTATCAAGCGACGCTTTCGAGTGGAGAAAATACTAGGAGAGGGTAGTTACGGGCAAGTTTTTGAATGTTTTGACTTATACACAAATTCGCTGACCGCTGTCAAGGCTTTAAAACCTCAGAGCGATTACAGTGATGCTGCTCGTCACGAACTTAATGTATTAGAATCTATTGCCAGATTAGATATCAAACATCGATCTCATTGCATATCGTCTTTAGACTTTTTTGAGTGGCATGATCACTTCTATATTGTTTTTCCTCTACTTGGTCCAAGTGTTTTTACATTTCTTGAGAAAAATGACTATGAACCTTATCCTATTGAACAGTGTGCAACAATTACCCGACAACTTTGTGAGGCCGTTGCATTTCTGCATCGAAATAAGCTCACACACACAGATCTTAAGCCTGAGAACATTCTGTTTATCGATGGCAGTTACGACGAAGTTTATGTTAATCATCGTGGCAGAACTGTACGACGAATCCGCAATCCATCAATAAAGCTTATAGATTTTGGATCAGCTACCTTCGACGAGGATCATCATTCAACCACTATCCAAACCCGTCACTATCGCGCTCCTGAAGTTGTTATGGAACTTGGGTGGAATCGGTCCGCTGACGTGTGGTCTGTAGGATGTATTCTTTATGAACTGCTGACCGGACAATGTCTTTTTATGACACATGATAATCTTGAACATCTAGCTATGATGGAACGTGTATTAGGAGCGCTTCCTAACTGCATGACAAAAGCGTCTCGTCGACGACGATATTTTCGCCATGGTCGGTTAGACTGGTCTCCCACTTCTTCAGAGTCTCGTTATGTCAGAAGAGTCCTTAAACCGTTGGGAGATTACTGGTTTTCTAGTTCTGATCTTTACAAACGCTTAGCATTTGACCTTGTTAAAGAAATGCTTGTATACATTCCGTCTGAACGGATAACCTGTTCGAAAGCCTTAGAACATCCGTTTATTCTTTCATTTCACACTTGAAATTACTTATCACCCCTGTACATTATGCCTCCTGATTATGATTATTATCACTATTGATATTTTTTGTCTTTCTTTTGATTTGTATGCCACACTATCGGTAGCACAATAGCTATTCTGATGTCACTAAGGTTTTTAGAATTTTTTTTCTGTTTATGGATTGTGATATATGACTTCGTCGGAAGATACAAACAAAAGTTTATCGTTTTGGGACGTTTATTCGTGCAGTATCTAGCTTTCAGGTTTCATTAGTATAGGGTATTATTTGTGGTGACAAAAAGAGCTCTAATATATTCTCCAACAGCATTCTCCCACTACTTGCACTCGTTTGTCTCAGTAGGTTCATAGTTTGCCTCACTCTAATAAATGAGTTAAATTATGTAGAAATTTACTTTTTTACTGTGACCTGCATGCGTGTGGTGGTCGTCTTAGTTGGGGAATTCTCCAGTGTTAGTGCTCTTTCTATTATTTTTCGTGGAAGTCCAACAGCTTCTGCTACTTTAATTGTTTCACTTCTTGAATTCATACCACTGGTTGCTTCGTACAAACATAGCACTCTTCCTTCGTGGTAGATGGTCTTCATCGTCTTCAGTGTATGGGTCTAAATGTGAACAGAGGTTACTTACCAAGTATTGTACTCGTAGTCCATATATTTGGAAATGTTTTAATATTTCATGGTTATGAGTAGCTATGATAGCATATGGACATTCATCTTTTGTTAGTAAAAATTCAACCACAGCTGTTGTAAGTGCATTCAGTTCCAACTGAAAAATGAAGATGATCCTGGAGTTAGAAGTATGTTATATATTATATCTAATAGTCACAATGGGCTATTGACTAATGCTTCTGTGCTACAGATAATCATACAAAACATTGATACTGTAGTAGAATGTAAATCTAATGTAGAATCTGGGTGACTAGTGATCGTTATGCATCACATTTTCAGTCACTCTGTTCACTAATCCAGGATTTGTCATGTATCATCCAATCCAGTCTGTTATCGAATTGTTGCGATTGCTATGAAATGTTTCTTTTTAGGGCCCTTAGATTAATGGTTTAGTGCGACTTTAAAGCACTGCATTGTATCTTTCTAGTGTGGTTTTTATTTTTCCTTATTTAGGTACTTTGTTCTCCAAATATGAATTTGATATACCCAACTTACTTTATTTACTGCGTCCGCAAACTCGTCCATTATCATAAATGTTCTGTCTGTTATTGCTTTCAAGGCGACTGATGCGAAGTGTAGAGCCTTCATGTAGGCTGAACAGTCGTTCTGTTCCAGGAAGTTTGTGCCTGTGAGTATGTATATTGTATCCAACAGTGGGATAACAGCTTCTTCGGCTGGGACATAACTTCCCACTTGAGCGAGATATGCTATCAAAGCGATCTATAAAGGAGCAGTAAAGTGGATCTTTTTGTCTGAAAGAAGCACTCAAACGTGATCACAATCACCTAAAAATTCACTTGTTTGTTTAGGTAGTTGATTTACTATTCTATTGGCTTTAGATTGTTCATTAGGTTAGAATCACGATATATGCCAATGTAAAACCTGAGACAACAATACGTTGTCTCAACTTACCAGCAGCTGGACGCGAATAGAAAACGTAAGTAAAAGGGAACTCTGGCAGCCAAAAGAATGGGTGGTTGAACAAGAATGGTAAGTTATATGGTAATAAGGTGGTAATTTCCGTGGTATATTGTCTGTCCAATCATGGGTCACCAACATTTTAATAGCATCTATCAGGACCTGTGTTGTGTGCTCAGTGCTAACTGGTAACCAGAGTAATAATCAGTACAATATGTTAAACTGATAATGATTGTTTGCACTTTTAGGCTAACTTATTCACCGGCACCCAAAACCCAGACAGACCTGGACGACAAAGCATAACACGAGTTAGGCAAGTGTCGAAATTTTATCAGGTTTTCGGTTTACATCCACCACTTTCGAATAAAGTGCATTTAACGGGACTGGTGCGTATTTCAGTATGAAATACTATGCAATATCATTTTTCGGAAATGTCTTACCCTTTGACAAGTAACGTAACTCGGCAACGTGTTGTAGTGTCCACTTGACGATTAGTCTCATTGACTACGCAGGTTTACAGTAAGACTTTTGACAGCCTGGATTAAACGGTAGGATATGGATACGAGGTGGATTAGTCCCGTAGGTTCCACTCTGACTACACTAGCTGTTGCGTTATCAAAACCGAAGTCCTCTTAAGTTATTGGTTCTGATTTCCTTCTATTTTCATTAGTAAAATTTCCTTAAGGACGTTAAGCCGTAAGTTACGCTTGAATTAAAACCGACCTGAGTTCCCCTATCCATCTATGTTGTAATGACCCCAAGTTAACACTTAGATGGCTATACCGAATGAAGTTCTGGTTGTCTACACGAGTGGTAACCAAACCAAATAGCTGTTGGACAGTTCCCATGACTAATCGGATGAATTGTGGTTTGAATCTCGTGATCCTTGTCTTTTCCGGGAGTTAAACTAACCGCATGCCACTTCCTGCCCCACCACTGCAAAAACTACACACTAAGCAGCTCACTCAACATCTCAGTCACGTATTTTGCCAAAAAGTTCCAGTTGCGCTCGCATCACTGGTATCTCCCACCAAGACTTAGCATTTTCTTGGACGTAGTATTCTGTAGTGGTTGCGTCAAAAATATCTACGTTAATCGCTTTCATTCGAAATTACGCACTCAACGTCGTGAAACCTAAATCATAACTACTAGCTTCGACATAGTGATACGGAAAATGTAAAGCAACCCAGCTATCATTAGTGGTGGGAGGGTTTCTTCCTTGATGTCTTAACATCCCAGAGAGTTTTTGCAGAAAGTGGTAGAAGAGAGAGCTGTCAAAGATATAGTATGAAGGCTTGCGCTATGGTGGGGAGCGGAGTCGTCCTACAGTCTGGGCGGTGGTGACAGCAGTAAGCTGTTTCTCACAGGTGACCACCATCACATACTGATGCCTCTGTGGAGATACCTACTGCGTGACCGTCCGAGTATCCACAGCTCATATCAGTACATCAAGTAAAAAAGCAGTGAAGTGGGAGGTGAAGAAACGAAAATCCGGTCAAAGGAAATATAAAGTACTAAAAGAGAGAAATGAAGCGTGAGAAAATGGTGAGATTCGGTTCAATGTTAAGATGAGGATAATGTCCATACATCTGTGCCACTGACATCGGCTCTGAGCCATATCACCTACAGTCTCCAACCTCTGGTTTCTCTTGTCCCGTGAACCCCAACCACATACTCTGCATCGCACACATGGGTTAAACCAACAGTCGACGACTTCATACATTGATGCCATGTTTTAGTCTGGCAGCCTCGAACCTTTTCCTAGTCTGAACCTACTTAGGCCAACATTGTGTGACAAGGCAGACGGCGACTAGACATAGGTAACACGTGTCTCAGTCGATGAGGGTTCACAACCGTGTCAACTGATTTACCTCTTCTCCCTAAAACTCTACGCCTGACTTCTGCGTTACTCACCTAGTGACACCACGGAATACGGCAACGGTGGTAAGAGACCTGAAGCCTTCTCATGTCTTCCACCATCG